GCTCAACAACAATATACTACCAGAACACATCAGCTCAACAACAATATACTACCAGAACATATCAGCTCAACAACAAGATACTACCAGAACACATCAGCTCAACAACAAGATACTACCAGAACATATCAGCTCAACAACAATATACTACCAGAACACATCAGTTCAACAACAAGATATTACCAGAGCATATCAGCTCAACAACAAGATATTACCAGAACACATCAGCTCAACAACAAGATACTACCAGAACACATCAGCTCAACAAGATACTACCAGAACACATCAGCTCAACAAGATACTACCAGAACACATCAGTTCAACAACAAGCTATTACCAGAACATATCAGCTTAACAACAAGATATTACCAGAACACATCAGCTCAACAACAAGATACTACCAGAACACATCAGCTCAACAAGATACTACCAGAACACATCAGCTCAACAACAAGATACTACCAAAACATATCAGCTCAACAACAAGATACTACCATAACATATCAGCTCAACAACAAGATACTACCAGAACATATCAGCTCAACAACAATACACTACCAGAACATATCACCTCAACAACAATATACTACCAGAACACATCAGCTCAACAACAAGATACTACCAGAACACATCAGCTCAACAACAAGGTACTACCAGAACACATCAGCTCAACAACAATATACTACCAGAACACATCAGCTCAACAACAAGATACTACCAGAACATATCAGCTCAACAACAAGATACTACCAGAACACATCAGCTCAACAACAAGATACTACCAGAACACATCACCTCAACAACAATATACTACCAGAACATATCAGCTCAACAACAAGACACTACCAGAACACATCAGCTCAACAACAAGATACTACCAGAACATATCAGCTCAACAACAAGATACTACCAGAACACGTCAGCTCAACAACAAGATACTACCAGAACATATCACCTCAACAACAATATACTACCAGAACACATCAGCTCAACAACAAGATACTACCAGAACACATCAGCTCAACAAAAAGATACTACCAGAACACATCAGCTCAACAAGATACTACCAGAACACATCAGCTCAACAAGATACTACCAGAACATATCAGCTCAACAACAAGATACTACCAGAACATATCAGCTCAACAACAACATACTACCAGAACACATCAGCTCAACAACAAGATACTACCAGAACATATCAGCTCAACAACAAGATACTACCAGAACATAGCTCAACAACAAGATACTACCAGAACATAGCTTAACAACAAGATACTACCAGAACATAGCTCAACAACAAGATACTACCAGAACATATCAGCTCAACAACAAGATACTACCAGAACATAGCTCAACAACAAGATACTACCAGAACACATCAGCTCAACAACAAGATACTACCAGAACATATCAGCTCAACAACAAGATACTACCAGAACATATCAGCTCAACAACAAGACACTACCAGAACATATCAGCTCAACAACAAGACACTACCAGAACACATCAGCTCAACAAGATACTACCAGAACATATCAGCTCAACAACAAGATACTACCAGAACACATCAGCTCAACAACAAGATACTACCAGAACATATCAGCTCAACAACAATATACTACCAGAACATATCAGCTCAACAACAAGATACTACCAGAACATATCAGCTCAACAACAAGACACTACCAGAACATATCAGCTCAACAACAAGACACTACCAGAACATATCAGCTCAACAACAAGACACTACCATAACATATCACCTCAACAACAATATACTGCCAGAACACATCAGCTCAACAACAAGATACTACCAGAACACATCAGCTTAACAACAAGGTACTACCAGAACACATCAGCTCAACAACAATATACTACCAGAACACATCAGCTCAACAACAAAATACTACCAGAACATATCAGCTCAACAACAAGATACTACCAGAACACATCAGCTCAACAACAAGATACTACCAGAACACATCACCTCAACAACAATATACTACCAGAACATATCAGCTCAACAACAAGATACTACCAGAACATATCAGCTCAACAACAAGATACTACCAGAACACGTCAGCTCAACAACAAGATACTACCAGAACATATCACCTCAACAACAATATACTACCAGAACATAGCTTAACAACAAGGTACTACCAGAACACATCAGCTCAACAACAATATACTACCAGAACACATCAGCTCAACAACAAAATACTACCAGAACATATCAGCTCAACAACAAGATACTACCAGAACACATCAGCTCAACAACAAGATACTACCAGAACACATCACCTCAACAACAATATACTACCAGAACATATCAGCTCAACAACAAGATACTACCAGAACATATCACCTCAACAACAATATACTACCAGAACATAGCTTAACAACAAGGTACTACCAGAACACATCAGCTCAACAACAATATACTACCAGAACACATCAGCTCAACAACAAAATACTACCAGAACATATCAGCTCAACAACAAGATACTACCAGAACACATCAGCTCAACAACAAGATACTACCAGAACACATCACCTCAACAACAATATACTACCAGAACATATCAGCTCAACAACAAGATACTACCAGAACATATCAGCTCAACAACAAGATACTACCAGAACACGTCAGCTCAACAACAAGATACTACCAGAACATATCACCTCAACAACAATATACTACCAGAACATAGCTTAACAACAAGATACTACCAGAACATAGCTCAACAACAAGATACTACCAGAACATATCAGCTCAACAACAAGATACTACCAGAACATAGCTCAACAACAAGATACTACCAGAACACATCAGCTCAACAACAAGATACTACCAGAACATATCAGCTCAACAACAAGATACTACTAGAACATATCAGCTCAACAACAAGACACTACCAGAACACATCAGCTCAACAAGATACTACCAGAACATAGCTTAACAACAAGATACTACCAGAACATAGCTCAACAACAAGATACTACCAGAACATATCAGCTCAACAACAAGATACTACCAGAACATAGCTCAACAACAAGATACTACCAGAACACATCAGCTCAACAACAAGATACTACCAGAACATATCAGCTCAACAACAAGATACTACCAGAACATATCAGCTCAACAACAAGATACTACTAGAACATATCAGCTCAACAACAAGACACTACCAGAACACATCAGCTCAACAAGATACTACCAGAACATAGCTTAACAACAAGATACTACCAGAACATAGCTCAACAACAAGATACTACCAGAACATATCAGCTCAACAACAAGATACTACCAGAACATAGCTCAACAACAAGATACTACCAGAACATAGCTTAACAACAAGATACTACCAGAACATAGCTCAACAACAAGATACTACCAGAACATATCAGCTCAACAACAAGATACTACCAGAACATAGCTCAACAACAAGATACTACCAGAACACATCAGCTCAACAACAAGATACTACCAGAACATATCAGCTCAACAACAAGATACTACCAGAACATATAAGCTCAACAACAAGACACTACCAGAACATATCAGCTCAACAACAAGACACTACCAGAACACATCAGCTCAACAAGATACTACCAGAACATATCAGCTCAACAACAAGATACTACCAGAACACATCAGCTCAACAACAAGATACTACCAGAACATATCAGCTCAACAACAATATACTACCAGAACATATCAGCTCAACAACAAGATACTACCAGAACATATCAGCTCAACAACAAGACACTACCAGAACATATCAGCTCAACAACAAGACACTACCAGAACATATCAGCTCAACAACAAGATACTACCAGAACATATCAGCTCAACAACAAGACACTACCAGAACATATCAGCTCATCAACAAGACACTACCAGAACATATCAGCTCAACAACAAGACACTACCAGAACATATCAGCTCAACAACAAGATACTACCAGAAGACATCAGCTGAACAACAAGATCTGGCTAGAGGATTACTGCAAGTCTGTGTGAAGTTAGTTGCAAATCTTGTGCTGGTCAATTTATACCAGCCCCGGCGTTTGTTGGATTTTTGTGGTTTGTTATAGCAATTTTACCCCAAATAGTTTGTAATTTTACTGAAAGGTCGGTGTCCATACTGTTGTGATAATCAGAGCAAAAAAGTATGCATAGAACTGCATGACACTTAGAACCCTGATGTGATGTAATTATGAAACTGAGTTCATAAGCCGCAAGCCACAGCCACTGACTAGACCATGAGAAGAGGACTCGGCAAGTGATTCCCCCCCCCCCCCCCCCCCATCAATGGAAGCCTGTACCTGACCCCGCTTCCTCTCTATACAACTGTTTATGATTCTTTGGACTCTACAGCAACAGCTTTATAGAGCGAGGTAGCTTATTCCACCCACACTAGCCGCCTCTTACGACACATTTGGTTAGTGACAGTATTGTCATTAGTAATTCCGGTAACACATAAGCTGCTTGAACTGAATTAAATAAACACAGATTCCAGAACTGTCAAACTAAATTATCAACTCAAACATTAACATTATAAATCTCATGACTTGAACAAGACACAATTAACTGGTCGTCAGTTTCAATGACCACTGATCACTGGCGTCACGAGGGTTAAAGAGACTGAAATGGCTGGGGTATATAGAACAGGCAAACTACGAACACGAAAGAGACAGCGAAGAGATAATACCTAGACAGATCTCTAAACACTTGGAGTCACCATCTTGAAAGAGAGGACCAATCATAGAGAAATAACAGGAGTGGATCGTATCTGCAGCAATGAATCTCAAAGGTTGGGAATGCTGAAATTAAAGGAACAATGATTGTAGGCACATATAGAGAGCCTACTTAGGAAAGAGACAGAGCACGTGTGAGACTAGCCTCAGTGAAGTGATGTCAGTTATTGATTCATTGTTTATTCTAGAGAAACGCATGCACATTTCTATTGCAACTTACCAGATAAGGACCAGTCAGTGTCTGAGTGTCGACCACGCCCCCTCCATCCTCCACACGCTGAAGGCATAACTCAGCCTCTCCGTGGCCAGATAACTACAGCTGGTGGCCAGTTTGTGGTCAGCCTGGTCACTTCTCAGCACCTGGTACAGGAAGTCTATGTACCTGGAGGCCAGCTTCAGAGTTTGAATCTTACTAAGTTTATCCGAAGGCAACGTGGGAATGATTTTTCTAAGCTGTGCGAAAGCTTCGTTTAGTGACTGAGTTCTCTGCCTTTCTCGGACATTAGCCAATACTCGTTGGTTGTGAAGGTCTTCCATAGATTGTGACTGCCTTTTCGCCCTTTTCCGATTTCCTGCGCAAGAGTGCTTGCCGTCTGAAGGATGGAGCAGACAGCGAGGATCGCTAGAAGATCCGTCAGACTGCTCAAAGTATGAATCGGAAAACCTGGAGCAATCCAAGCCGCTGTGTTCTGTCTGCGAGTCTTCTTCAGTGACAGAGACTTGGCGTTTTCGTGAAAATCTCCTGCTCGATATGTCTGAGAACACACTGGAGTTATGGCTCAGTTCTGACCCAACGGTCTCCGCGGTTTGGCGAAAAGGGCGATCTTTAATCTGATTGCTCGGGGAAGATGTGTGATTGTCTGTGGGCAGATCTAAGCTACTGCTATCTTTAGAGGGCAACTGTGTCGTGGTTGTAGACGCGAGGATGTTGGCAGGAGATAGAGCTGTGGACTCTTGTGAACTGACGATGTCACTGCTGTTGTCGCTGTTGTTATTGATGTTGCCACTAATGATGTCCCCTGATTGCTGTTCAGACGCCATCTTAGCACCTGGTTTGGGAGACAAAAATTAGAACATGGCAACGAATGTTTAAGGAAAGCACATCAGTCGCTAGAACATCACATGTTTATGGTGCAAGGAAAACAAATTACATCAAACAACAGTTGTTTGTTTACTTCTGTTACTTAAAATGGCGCCAATTGTATCTCCACCTGTCATTAACTCCTTATGGAATATAATATGATCCCACTCCCGTGTGGTGTACGCTCTTATATTGACATCCCTTTTTTGGGTGCACATTTTTTTTTTGAAGCCCTACCCTAGCTCCTGTCGGGGGGGGGGGGGGGGCGCAATATAGCCAGGCCATAAATATGGTCTAATGGCTGAACGCGGTTTCTGCGACCTCTCCACGGGGGATCCTCATCCAAATCGTGGCACTTTGTGTGTCATCGGGTGTTTATCGCTTGTGTGATGTCCTGGTGGGGTAAAAGAAGATATACGAGGGGTAGGGGATGGTGTATGGAAGGAGGCTAGAATACTTAGAGAAAGATATATGAAATATACGTGTCTAATGGACATGTTTATTTACCTAAATATATGTGTCTTATGAACGTGTTCATTTACCAAAAACAAAATCGTAATAAACAAATCTGAGTAGCAATAATTACTTCCTATACATAGCAGCTGTACCTGGTACACGTTTGCTTTAGCATACGTTCGCTCTGGTACACGTTTGCTTTAGTATACGTTCAGCTTGGCACGAGTCCTGTATAGACATGGACAATTTTGCTTTATGTCCTTTGTTTAGAGCACGACCCCAGTGCTAGAACTTGTATGAGTCAAAATTAGTCATGACACCGAGCGCTGTCTTGTTGACCTCTGAAGGAAAAGCCATGGTTAGATATCCATGACTTTGCAGTGAATGTTCACCCCAAGAAAGCCAGACAGTCTCACACAGTTCCCAATTGTCCTTGCCAGTTGGTGGAAGCAAAAGTACAAGACATCTGCTTTTTGTTTACAAATAACACTAATACAAGAGAGTTAAAGATTGTCCTTCGCCTTCATAAAGGTCTTGAGCAGAGTAAGGCAAGCTGTCATGGTGGGCGTGTTTGCCTATCTCCAAACTGATTGGAAAGATCTTGAACTTGTAAAGAAAATATACTGGAAACATCCTAATGTTGAAAACAAAAACAAACACTGAACTAGGTCAACCCAACCAACCAAGAGAAGTGTAAGACAGGGATATGTAGAGCAGCCATACCACTTTTTCCCGCTACAGAAACATTTGAAAGATCTGAGGGGAAATGACAGGGTAAATAAACATATGAGGGGAAATGTCAGGGGAAATAAACATGTGAGGGGAAATGTCAGCGGAAATCAACATGTGAGAGGGAAATTTCTGGGGAAATAAACATGTGAGGAGGAAATGTCAGGGGAAAATAAACATGTGAGAGGGAAATGTCAGGGTAAATAAACATGTGATCGGGAAATGTCAGGGGAAATAAACATGTGAGGGGAAATGTCAGGGGAAATAAAGTTGAGAGAGGGAATGTCAGGGAAAAAAAAGATGTCTGGGGAAATAAACATGTGAGAAGGAAATGTCCGGGGAAATAAAGATGTGAGGGGAAATGTCAAGGGAAATAAAGATGTGAGGGGGAAATGTCAAGGAAAATAAAGATGTGAGAAGGAAATGACCGGGGGAAAAAAAGATGTGAGGGGAAATGTCAAGGGAAATAAAGATGTGAGGGGAAATGTCAAGGGAAATAAAGATGTGAGGGGAAATGTCCGGGGAAATAAAGATGTGAGGGGAAATGTCAGGGGAAATAAAGATGTGAGGAGGAAATGTCAAGGAAAATAAATATGTGAGGAGGAAATGACCGGGGGAAAAAAGATGTGAGGGGAAATGTCAAGGGAAATAAAGATGTGAGGGGAAATGTCAAGGGAAAAAAAGATGTGAGGGGAAATGTCTTGGGAAATAAAGATGTGAGGGGAAATGTCTTGGGAAATAAAGATGTGAGGGGAAATGTCTTGGGAAATAAAGATGTGAGGGGAAATGTCTTGGGAAATAAAAATGTGAGGGGAAATGTCATGGGAAATAAAGATGTGAGGGGAAATGTCAAGGGGAAAAAAGATGTGAGGGGAAATGTTTTGGGAAATAAAGATGTGAGGGGAAATGTCTTGGGAAATAAAGATGTGAGGGGAAATGTCTTGGGAAATAAAGATGTGAGGGTAAATGTCTTGGGAGATAAAGATGTGAGGGGAAATGTCATGGGAAATAAAGATGTGAGGGGAAATGTCAAGGGAAAAAAAAAGATGTGAGGGGAAATGTCTTGGGAAATAAAGATGTGAGGGGAAATGTCTTGGGAAATAAAGATGTGAGGGGAAATGTCTTGGGAAATAAAGATGTGAGGGGAAATGTCTTGGGAAATAAAGATGTGAGGGGAAATGTCTTGGAGAAAACATTGACATTAGAAGATATGAGGATGAAACGCTGATCATGAGCTACCATTTGAGTGGATGTGGTAAGCAATGGTAGACAGTGAGCCACTTTCCTTGTAGTTCAATGGTAAGTAATGGTAGACAGTGAGCCACTTTCCTTGTAGTTCAATGGTAAGTAATGGTAGACAGTGAGCCACTTTCCTTGTAGTTCAATGGTAAGTAATGGTAGACAGTGAGCCACTTTCCTTGTAGTTCAATGGTAAGTAATGGTAGACAGTGAGCCACTTTCCTTGTAGTTCAATGGTAAGTAATGGTAGACAGTGAGCCACTTTCCTTGTAGTTCAATGGTAAGTAATGGTAGACAGTGAGCCACTTTCCTTGTAGTTCAATGGTAAGTAATGGTAGACAGTGAGCCACTTTCCTTGTAGTTCAATGGTAAGTAATGGTAGACAGTGAGCCACTTTCCTTGTAGCTCAATAGTAAGTAATGGTAGACAGTGAGCCACTTTCCTTGTAGCTCAATGGTAAGCAATGGTAGACAGTGAGCCACTTTCCTTGTAGCTCAATGTTAAGCAATGGTAGACAGTGAGCCACTTTCCTTGTAGCTCAAAGGTAAGTAATGGTAGACAGTGAGCCACTTCCTTGTAGCTCAATGGTGGGTAACCAGAGCAGACCAGGCCCTTAGCCCAGGCCAGCAACTGGTCTAGGAGGGAAGCTCTGACAGGCGGACAGATAGAGCACTGCTCTTCTGATCTGGCACCTTCTGCAGCCTGCCTCGTTCCAAACGTACTGGTGTTATCTTTTTTTGGAGTAAACAATGCAGGCCGAGAGGGATCATGCTGTATGGGCTTCATATGGTCTCTATAATACTGAGCAGGTTTTGTGCCACGGAGAGGACTAAACACAAATGTTGAGAAACATGTTCCAGAAATCCCTTGCTATAATTATGAAAGATTATTTTTAACGCGAGAGGGTCTTGCTAGTCACAGTAGCTGTCGTCATGTGCTGTGAGTCCCATACCTATACATAGCGCAACACAAGACTATCGTCTAATCAAGCTATCCAGGGCTGTTGCTTTCCTCAATGTGAAGTCAGACCATTGACAGCCACTTTATGAGGAATTATTCAAGCAAAAATGAGTAGACTCAAATGAGGCAAATCCTGGATGGGTCGAGCTGAGGATGCCATCGAACATGTTTGTCGACTTACTGACATTATTTTTGAATTAAATGGATAATTATGACTCCCTCTCCAAACATTAATTTTACGGTCCATATCACACTTGATGGAAGCTGTAGAGAGCAGATTCCTGGCATTGTTGACACTTTAGTCAGAACACTGATTGACGAAAACGCAGATGAAGGTGATGCTATAGTTTAAGCAGATGGGTCAGTGATTCGGGGCAAGCGAAGTGCATGGGCCTTCACAGTAAGCTCAAGGGGAAAACCATCAAGGAGATGAATGGCGCCTTCGCTGTTACAACTAGCAGCCTTACAGTGGGAACTATGGCTGTAACAAGCGCTTTAGCATGGCTTGGTACTCAAAAGTTCACACACGTATGCATTCATAGTAACTTGATGAATATGCCCTGAAAAATCCAGGCTGGATTTATAAGGCAATTCATAAGCCCTTTACGAATATCTGCCCTAACCTTTATCTTTGTGCCAGGTCATGAGGGTGTTCAAGGAAACGAACGTGCGGACTATATTGCTAACACTGCGGTTGCTATGGCTGGTCCAGTACTGAACAGAAGTGATGTTATCAATGCCATGCGCTGCATTTATCATACCGAGGACAACGCCTAAGGACACGACTCCATATCTCTCTCTAGATTGATAAGAATTGGGGTGCAGCCTAGACTGAAATAAACATTTCACTAAGGGAACAAGACATTTCGTTTACCAGTACAGAACAGACGCCATCAGTCGTTTGACACTTGTGGAGCTTTTGAGGAAGAGATCAGAGCACCTATGGACCTGTCCCCAGTGCTGTGATGATAATCCTTTCTAATCACGGATAACTAACTAATAAGAAGAAACTCCACAGAGAAGCATGTACAGCTGGAGTCTACCAATTATCAGTAGAAGTGATCCTCGTTCATAATTGTTTCGGCCCACAAGCTCCTAGACAATTTCAGAGAGTGGGCCCACCTGAGTTCATGAAGCTCAGGCTTGATCTGCTCCTGCTGCACGTAGTACCGGATGTTCTCGGACAGGTACAAGACGAAAATGGTGACTATGCAACAGGTAATGTGAGATTCGAAGTTTATTTATAGTCGCTGCGGTAGCATATTAGAACAGTCAGCACACGTGAACGACCAAGTGGCACGCTTAAGGTTGGTTTATCGAACATATGTTAGGCTTGTTGCAAATGGTAGAGGAACGCTGGTAGACAATTCGGACAAGATGGACTTTTAAGGAATACGACTTCTTTTCTACTAGATACCCGGACCAACTCACCGAGGCCCGTACCCCACGATGTTCCGTTGTGTCCAAAGCCAGCTCAAGGCTCTCTCAGCAGCCTCGCCCATCTGTTTTAGTGCTCGTTTGCGCTCGTTCCTCTCAAGCCCAGTTGCTTAATCACATTGTACATGGAAGTTAAGAC